GCACGAGAATTATTTAGCAGTTTAACGTATAGCATGAATAACGAACACTCGATTAACAATGAACGTGTTGAAAGATCTTGTTAACTACCAGAATAAAATGATAATTGCACGATTTATCGTGTCCAATGAATGAAACAGATGGGACAGAACGTCCCAGTTAAAGACCAATAGTTTCCCGCAGGCTCTTTGTCGATACGCCAGGCCTAACTCTGTTTTATTGAAGAACGATACCTTCCTTTATTGACTATTTACGGATGTCCTATTCAATTGCTGCAGTTAATGCCCGACTAAGAGCAATAATTGTCCAGATAATGAACACAGAAATTTATAATAAATAGTTCTCTCTTTAAATTCAGCCAGATGGATGCACAGCCTGTTTTTTTTTTTTTTTCGAGGTAAAATTAATGTAATTTATTCGTTACATGGTATCACACTAATGTAGTTTCTGTGAGGTTCTCAATTCTTTATTATATTTTATTTACTACATTTCTTTATATTTTTTGTTAACTCTTTATGCATCAATTAATGTGTTTTTTATCTCTGTAAAGCAAGAACTCGGTTCACCGTAATAATGTATCCAATATTATTGCAGAATCTCCCATGTGTGAGACATAGTATTTTCCAAATACTCCACTCTTACAGATGCTCCCTCTTCTTGCAACAATATTTAACTTTTTTTTTTTTTAATGAGGGTTTAGCGTCGCATCGACTACGAGGTCTTTAGCGACGTGTCAAAATTGACTCTTTATAGCTGGTCTAGTAATTGCGTCTCCTTTAGGTAGTTGATAACGTTTTTTTGTTGTTTCTGGCAGGTTAGAGCGGTGTTTTGGTTCAATCCATATTTACTTCTTCTGCTTCGGTATTTTCTGCATTCATGTAGTAGGTGCTGGGTGGTGATTTGTAGGTTGCAGGTGTTGGGAGGTTCTGTTTTGGTGATATTTAATTTTGTATCGTCAAAAATATTTACGCACGCGTTATTTAATCGTAAATCTCACAGGACAACTGATTCGGTGATTAGATTATTTAATTTAAAATTACTCAACTACTAATACTTCTTCTTGGATTCTATGGAGTAAAATTATACACTTTTGCATACGTCTATACGTATCATATGTACGTATTGCTGTTACTTTAATAAACGGAACATTAATAAAACATATTATTACTGATATTCGCATACTGCGATCGATAAATGTTACTTTTCACTGAGCATTCTACGTATAAACTGCCGGATTAATAATAATATTTCGAATCTGAATCACACTGCCCCCAATGCAAGAAATCAACGCTTCCGAAAAGGAAGCAGAGAGAGAGAGAGAGAGTCGCCGAACTCTCTTCAGTTCATCTGTTATAGGCGACGCAGTCAGGGACACTGCGTCGTTCAAAAGATTATTAAAACACCGAAAGATACGCCAGCGGATAGATGTTTACCCGGCGAAACAGCAATTCCATTATCCTTCGCCTTTGAAGGCGGATACACGCGCCGTGAACGAAAATATTGCCGGCGTGAATAGTGAGGCTCGTGTGCGCATAAGCGTGGGAAATACGTGATCACATGTTGGGTAATCGCGGCACAAAGGGGTGAATCGGAAATACCAGGTGTCTATGTGTGTTTGTGTGTGTGTGTGCGTGGGCGGAGGGGCACGATTCAACGTTTTGCATTGGGAACACAACTTCAATGCTGTGCTGATCCTCCCCCTTCCCCCTTTCGGCTCTGAATGGTCGACTCTTTCTGTATCTTGCGCCTTTTTTTCCCTCCCCCTCCATCCAAAACAAGTATCACATTTTCTTAACAGGTTGATTTACTGCGAGCCAACGGCTACCCTTTTGTGGCTGGTTGCGCGCGCGTTTCCATTTCCCCCCTTTCGCCCTTACTCCTTTTCTTTTTCGCCGTTTCTTTGCCGACCGGTGCCAAAGTGCAGCCAACAAGGAGAATGTTTACCTTCCTTTCCTCCTACCACCTTTTTCCACGTGGTTAGACCGCGAGTGTACCGGAAGCTCCTTCAACCGAGAACGTTTCCACGGTCATTCGGTGAGAATTCGCGTTTTTCTTAAATTGCCGCGCGTGAAATCGATGTGGCAGATGAGACGAAAACTAAGACGGGATTGTTGTAGGAGGTCGCACGTGTGTTTGTGATATTTGTCGATAAAGTGTTCGTTATGTTGTATAATTTGTCAACTCTTTGGCCGATCAGAAGAGGAAAGGATATTGAGTCAAATTGATATATTTTAGCGTTTAGTTTATTGTCAGTTATTGATCCTATGAGATTGTCATAAAAGAACATTTTTAGAAATAAATTAACTCTGTGTTGTGTAGGTAATTTTATAATCGATACCTAAGTACAATTGGTTTAATAATTCGTGATTCACACAGGATAACATATTACAATACATTGAATAAACGTATTAGAAGTACGTGTTCAAAGATGAATTCAGTCATAATATGTCATATGCTCCTTATTCAGTATTAAACTGTTGGAGTTTGGATAATTTTAAGCACACAAAACGTCGATAACTGAATGTCGAAAATTATATTAATAATTGACGTGTTCTAATAATATCGATCCATTTATAAACAGCATTTGCAAATAAAAAGAGCAATATAATATAATAAACGTATACTCGATTACAAGTATTAGTGATACATATATACCTAATAATTCTACGATGCATGGTGTCCAACAAGCAAAGATTTATCATTTTCAAACACAAGACTGAAATAATTAAATATCCATATTTTTCTGTCAAATATACAGGGCGATTCACGTAGCTTGCACACTTGAAATAACGTTTGTGCGTTTAGTGAAAAATTGTTTAACACATACAAATTTTTTAATAATTGTTTAAAGTTGTATGGTTCTGAGGGAGGAAAAGTATTAATTTTTTTGTATGTGGTGAAAGGTTTCGAAATTTCCAAATTCGTTTTTATTTTTCTTTAATTGGACTGTATGTTTCTTGAATCATAAATAGAAAGAATATTATTATAATTCTAAAGTAAAAATGAAACTACCATTGACTTTTGACCTAATGGTTTAAAACAATTAGTGGTTAAATTAAAATTAAAGTTAATGGTTAAAGGAAATATTTTACGAAAACTGCGTAGCGTCGTCAGAGGGTTCGATAAATGTTTATAAACGTTAGTGTTATTATCTTACAAATGGGACAGTGAGATAGCGTAAAGCGAGATAATCCTAATTCCAAGAATTGGTGAGGTTAGGGACGAACGTCTAAGTAGGGATTACTGTATTATGAGAACCTGGGAACTTTGGTATTATTAACGCCGCTGTATGACGCAGCAGCACCAACGAAGAAAATGCTGCTCAGAAGCCGTAGAACACAATCCACATGTTAGTACACGACAGATTTCTCGACAATCTGGATTTAGTCAATCAAGTATGCTTCGAATTCTTCGTGCCCATAAAAATGCATCCATATCACTTGTATCTTCATCAGAATCTTCACCGATTTCCGACTTTCAAAATCGAATTTACTGAATAATTTTTGCTGCAAGTAAGTGTTAATGACAGCTATTTTTTTAGAAAATGTATTGTAATCATGGTAATATCAATTCACGGAATTTACATTATTGGGTGAGAGAAGTTGATCATCAACTCATCGCAAGCGAATGGTCCTGATTCACTATGTATTATAGTTTTCATCCTCGAAACAAATTATCGTAAAATACCTCCTTGACCATTAACGTTCAGGACTAATATTCTTTCCATTTATGGTGGATCAAAGAAATAAAGATGACCTTGGAAATTTCAAAACCCATGAAAAGTTGATACACCACAGTTTGCCTCTCTTGAAACCGTACAACTTTTGTATTGAACAATTTTTCATTACTATAATTTAAAAGTCACTTCAGGCGTACGTGAATCACCTCGCATGATCTTTAACTTAGTAGAATTTTTTAATGTATAATTCATAAATGAAGTTTGAATTGGTTTTCATAATTATGTAGAAATTATTACTTTTTTTTTTATAGTATTAAGGTTTTTGAAATGAAACTACGCACGTCTCTGTCTCTCTGCCAATTTTCGCGTACAAAGTGCACAATTGAGCAATAATTGATCGTATCTCTATGAATATCGATGACACATATCGTTCGGGTAATATTTTACTCACAACGTAAAAAACGATAAAATTAAAGCGCATAGACACGCTTCTATTTTTTGGTTATTTGAAAGAGTTATTTTCTTCTTTAACGCTTTATGGATGACAAAATTTACTTTTTTACTCTAGACAGTGTTGCAATGTTGTTGTAAACAAATGATTAGTAAACACTGATCCTACGTTTTGATTATTTATTTCTATTTACTATCATACTTGTTCTTTCATATTTAAATGATTAGAATTACTGATTCTACAGTTTATTAGATCCAGTTATACGTTCTTAATTATTTCTATTTACTATCATGCTTATTCTTTCATATTTACGTTATGTTAATAGTTCGTTAAAGTCAATGACTTTCAATCTAACGAACTCTAATTTCGGTAGAATTATGCGCGTTTTTTTAAATGTTGCGTCATCAGGTTTGTTCAGATGCGTCTAAATATTTACCAGTTTCTTGAATTCACCGGCAACGACGAATAAAATTTACAACTTCAATCGCAACTTGATGATTCAATTGCGGTGTGTACCTCGGCGCCGTGATGTTTGGTTTTCTCGTTTAAATTGTTTTTTTTTTCTTTTTTTTTAAATGAAGTATTACACTAGTTCATTATAATTTCCAATATCTTTCTGCTAGACTTATTGTTTCGCTAGACTCTCTGTCCAATTACAGAATATAAGCCAAGTATAGAAATGAAATTCTACACTATTTCGGAAATTCTGTTCTCCGATGATCCATCTTCCTATTTTAATAATATTTTCAACCAGGTCAAGCGTAAAAAGCGCTTATATTACACGGCCTGTTGGCGATGTTAAATTGAAAATTAGAAGTACGATTACCTTGTTGGATGTTACAACGGGAACTTTCAATTTGTTATAGGTGGCATGGCTGCGGGTAGATACCCAAACGATATTAACGATAGCCAGTCACGTTATCACGAAGAACCATCGGATAGCTGTTTCTCACAGCGATCATCGCACGTGGTTCCTTCATATACGAGAAGTAAAAGAATCTGACAGGGGATGGTACATGTGCCAGATCAATACGGACCCGATGAAGAGTCAAACTGGTTACCTCCAAGTTGTTGGTAAGTAGTCCTTCAATCTTCCCTATTTTCATTAATTTCGAATAAAAAGCCAACACCTGGCGAACAACTTTCTTCATGCTTTTCGTAATTTGGCAATTTTCAAATTTTTAAAATAATCAATGATTTAATGAATGAATGAATGAATAATCGTAATAATTCTTTCGCAACTTTTTCGTAATAATTCTTTCCTGGTATCGTATGATGTTACGCGAGTTTGTACGACAGTAAATCATTTTTATTGTGACGAATAGCTTTCATTTGCATTATTGATATTTATCTATTGCCATTAAGGAAACGTGACAAAAGAGTGTACACGAGTAAACATTCGTTCGAGAAATATTTATCAGATTTATTACATTTCGTCCAAGATTTATTCATACTTGTACGATATCATTTTTCTTTACTTGTTTCTCTATAGAGTGATATTTTATCAAGAAGAACTTAAAATATTGCGTGAGGCTTAGATTGTTTAATTCAAATGAAATATTTGGAAAAATTATTATTTAATTATTATTTAATTATTAATTTTATTTAATTAACACGTCGTCTTAAAATAATGTATTAGTTGCAGAACACATTATTCAGCTATTAAATAAGATGATTTTCTATTTTGCCTTATTCTACGTTTCATAGTATTGAGAATAGTTTGTAATTCTATCGTGTATGCCTCATCTTCGTTGCGAGTATTTCTATCTTTCATCTCGATTCAAAAAATTCCTTGATGACTTTTGATGATTTGCCTTTCTTTTCTTTGAATAAAAGTAATTCGTTGCTTTAAATTATCATTTTATATCTTCGTTTCGAACAAAATTTGTCCAGCTCTGACATAAAATCAATTATAGCGTAGCGACAAAACAACTTAATTAATAATTTCAAGAAGACTATATAGTATGCCATGTTCAGGTTTAGGTTAGCGAGGAAATTAACAATCGTCTATTCATCCTGTTCAAATAGTGATAAACTAAATAAACTTCTATCGATCCCCGCATAATTATCAGTCGTATCCGGAGCAGCTATTACATATAATGATTATATCACGTGAACGTTACACAGCGATATGCGGATGTAATTCGCAATATCTTAATCAAGTGTGACATGCTGTGAGAATCTGATTCTGTATCATTCCTACTCCCATCTCTTTGGGAATGATTTGTCGCTCGTACATGACGAAATCAGTTTCACTTCATTGACACGTGTTCTTATTTAATCGACATATCAAAATGAGAATCTTACAATAATAAATCGTTCAGACTAATTTCCTTCCACTAATTTTTTAACACGTTGACAGTCGAATTTAATTTTATGACCGTTTAATACTTTCTAGAGATTTTTACATTGTTTAATTTCGGAATTTTTAATTGATTTCGAAGTCGAAGATGGAATTAAATGTACACAAAATTTTAGTAATACAACATTAATTTAATTTTATTCTGAATCTTTGGAGAGTGCATCTTAAAATCCCTCGTAACGAAAATTTCATTAAACGTCGTGCGTAATTTTATTTTGCGGATGAAATACTCGAAGTAAAATCTCAGAATTTTAGATGGCAGTCAAACACAATCATTTCTATCCGAACAAGTCTATCGAAGAGTTGATCCTATCACGCATTGTGCTGTTCGCAACTTAACGGCACACGCGGGATTTCCCGGGATTTTTACCAGAGCAACACGTACAGAGTGCCTATATATCGTAATCTATGAATCCAGTTAGGCTAAACGAGCATGGTCTTAATGCCGTATCGCAATAATCGTGCATCGCCGACAAAGATCAGGCTTCAGCTGTTTAAACGGACGTAAAGCCAAGCGAAAGGTCTTTCGCGTCTACTTAATTTGCAAGGCATTCACCTTATTATTATAGAGCAATATAGTAGCGAGTTTGCGGGAACGCCATCTATGGGGGGGGGGGGGTTGCACGCCAGCAATCTTTACATCCCCTTCTCGGAAATGAAACCTCGTATGTGCCCTTTCACCACTATGCTCGCCCCACCCTCTCTTCCTCCTATCGTTCTTTTAATTCCTTTAGCCCTCGTATCGACACTTTTTCCCTCATCTGTTTCATTCTTGCCACATTCGCCATAAAAGGATGGCCTCCATTGAAGACTATATCTATATGAAATACATTAATATCTGTATTATATTTAATATTATATTTAATATTAATACTAATATTTATTAATTATATTAATTTAATAATACTGTAATATTATATTTAATATTAATACTAATATTAATATTAATTTAGTAATACTGTAATATTATATTTAATATTAATACTAATATTAATATTAATTTAGTAATACTATAATATTATATTTAATATTAATACTCATATTAATATTAATTTAGTAATACTATAATATTATATTTAACATTAATACTAATATTAATATTAATTTAATAATACTATAATATTATATTTAATATTAATACTAATATTAATATTAATTAAATAATACTATAATATTATATTTAATATTAATACTAATATTAATATTAATTTAATAATATTATAATATTATATTTAATTGAGTATACAATTATACATATTTTGTATGATTTGACGTATCCATAGTAATTGTACAATAGATATAATGTATTACATTTATAGAATGTGTGATAGGTACATTACTTGGTGTAGAAACATTGTCATCCCCCCCCCCCCCTCATTGAATTTGCACAACTTGTTTCTTTCTAAATAAGACATTTTGAAATTTCATAAACACGATGAAGATGATTGTTGTGGATTGTATTGAGGAAATTTAAAATTAATCTGAAAGTAGATATAAACGTTCAGAAATATTTATTTATATTGTAAATTGAAATGTTTCACTGAATATAATGGTTAATTCTTTATTTAAATATTTCTGTAATATCTTTGATACTTTTATTGAATACCTCGTAATTTTTATATATGTTTTTAGATTAATTTTAAATATGATGAACACAACTATTTATAATAATTAGATCTCACCACAGTATATGTGACATTTCAAAACGTTCAAAACGTTTCATACTCAAAATATTTTAACGCGCATAATGTACCCAAAAATTTTCTCTAAGCATTCGAATACTTTCACGAGCAATAGTATATGGAAATTACAAGATATTTATGTATTTCATATCATTAACAAGATACCTATCCATTATTATACACTATATACATTTCATTTCATATGTTTAGTAAAAAAATTAGTGCACAGTATAAACAGCCATCTTATAGCATATGATAAATATTAAATATAGTCTGACTAAATAATCAAGACTTACTGATGTAATTTGCATCTCTTCTCTGAAATGAAATCAACGTATATGCCTTTTCATCCTTCTTTTCACCATTGTTTTAATTCTTTTAGCTCTCATGTCATCATTTCTCTCCACCTGTTTCATTTTTACCATATAAACATACACCACAATCTTTCCAGATTAATTCGATCAGCCGACAAATTTTCAAAACTTTGTGTGGAAAAACTGGCCGCGTCAAGTTTGATGTTTGTATAGCACACAGAATAATGTTGCACGAAGTATGAAAACTTGTTTTATAGTTCGTAAACGTGTGTACAGTCGTAAACTTGTTCCATGTTGCGCTCTCTTTACCCTTTCCTTTTTTTTCTTTTTTTTTTTTCGGTTCACGTCGCTTATATGGGCATGCGACATGCACGTTGTTTTAAATATAAATTTTTAAATATAATTTTTTAAATATAAATTGTTGAGAAGAACGAACAGAATGTGTGAATGTTATAAAGTAAATAGGTGGAAAAAATTAGTGGTATAAATATATTGTATGATAAATGAGGTTATTGGTGTCAATAATGTTTATAATTATTGGACTATGGATTCTGCATTTTTACAACTAAGAAGACATCAAAATACTATTTTACTTTAACATTAATGATTTTAGATATTTTTTGTATTTCTTTATATCATGTAAATTTCGGAAATTTTTGCAATTCAGATTTTCTATAAATCTATTTTCTATATATAGGTACATACATATCTGTATATACGTATAACTTTTTAGGGCTAAATTTTTTGAGAGAAACTATCTTTTATTTTCCCTTGCATTTGTGGAAAGCAGACATAATGGATTTGAAGTTTAATACAAAGTAGAAAAGCTGAAATATAAGGGATAAAAGACAAAATTTATCAGACTGGTCCTTGCAAAAAGATTTTATGAATTTAAAGCCTCAAGCGATTTCAATTCTGTCTTTTGAAGAAAAAAGCAACACAGGAAGAAAATAATTCTTGGTGGAAAATTCATGTATAAGTACATTTTGTTTGTTTAACAGCAATAACTAAATTAAAAACTCCATTCACGGTAACTTATTTTCTATAGTCAATTATTTTTCCAAGTGGTTCGCATTTCACAGTAATCATATTGACTATTTAATTCAATATCATTACGAATTGCGAAAACATTTTCAAATTCTACCGACCGACTTTCTGTGTAATATTCTCTTGAAAAAGGGAAATATATTAACCGGAGCTTTTATTCCTACGTATACGTAGTTATTGTTGCGTCGACCGAGAAACTGTTTCAATTGTTTTCGTTACCATCGATTCGAGTGTTTCGATCGTTATCTTTCATCCACGTAAAATAAAAATGTCACGCAGAAATTTCTCGAATTTCTCTCCTCGATTTCGCTTCGAAAGTAACAAAGACACGAGTTATTGTAACAGTTACAAATAAGTTGTCTAAAATGATACGATGACGTTTTTATACTACGAACCACTGGACGTTGAATCAAAAGTCACACAGAATCTCCAATGTTTTATACATTTTCAATAAAATCGGAGCAAATTTAAACAAAATTGAATTACAATCTTTATTAACTGAAATGTAAAATATCAGGTTAGCAGTTACACACAAATGTTGCACGCTTGCTGTTTAAAAATCTTAAAAGGATAGTTTTCATCTTTATCATCATGTCATATCATATTTATCACAGATTACAAGATTGTCGATTTATTTTTATAACAAATTTCTCTACGATATTTGCTGAA